AGTGTGGTGTGTTGTTGTGGTGTGTGTGTGTGTGTGTGTATATATATATATATATATATATATGAGTGTGGGTGTTTGTGTGTGTGTGTGTGTGTGTTTTGTGTTTTGTGTTTTGTGTTTTGTGTTTGTGTATCATTCGAGTGCATTCACGTGCTGTTCGGATTGGTAGTGCGAGTATCTCAATCAGACTAAACATGCGTACACATATGCGGTCCTTTGCATACACTAGAAGAAACTCTTCCAGGATACAATCAAAGTTTGAGGTTATTGATTTAAAAGGTGTTAACCCGTGCAATTGTTTGATGAAGCAAAGTGCTAGTGTACTCTCATCGGCTTAAGTATTTTATTCTAATGTTGTGCGCAGAGTAGTCAGGCTTAACCCTGAACCCTAAACCAAAAATAGAAAACCCTAAAACCCTAAAACCCTATTGTTCTGTCATCAGCTGAAGTATCCCATGTAAATGTTGTGCCCAGAGTAGTCAGTGCACTGGCAGCCCTAAAACCTAAAACCCTACAACCCTACAACCCTACAACATCTGACTAAGGCGCTGTGGTAGAAAGTGCGGATCAATAGAGTCTGTTTGAAGGCACGTGTACCTGAACATGCATAGGGACAGTATGTGCGAATACAACACCATACTGAAGCATAGTGATCAATATACAAACATGGCTGTTCTAATAAGCACAAGCGTGTATCTACCATAGCCGCCGCATTACTATGACAATGCCATTAACGCCTCTATCAGCTGTGGTGTGCATATACAGGGTACTGTGTGTAATCCATCCCAAGTGTAGGGTTACAGTGCATAGATACGCCCAATGCACTTCATTCCATCACCCACTTGCCAATTTGTTGTTGTGTGTGTGTAGATCTTTGTACATCATTCCATCACCACTTGCCAATTTGATGTTGTGTGTGTGTGTAGATCTTTGTACATCATTCCAGCATCCACTTGCAATTTGTTGTTGTGTGTGTGCGTGTGTAGATATTTGTGCATCATTCTATCACCCACTTGCCAATTTGTTGTTGGCGTGTGTGCGTAGATATTTGTACATCATTCTATCACCCACTTGCCAATTTGTTTTGTTGTGTGCGTAGATCTTTGTACATCATTCCATCACCCACTTGCCAATATGTTGTTATTGTGTGTGTGTAGATCTTTGTACATCATTATATCACCCACTTGCCAATTTGTTGTTGTTGTGTGTGTGTGTAGATCTTTGTACATCATTCTATCACCCACTTGCCAATTTGTTGTTGTTGTGTGTCTGTAGA